ACTTCCTGAAGGAGGCACACGGGGCTGGGTGAACAATCCTGAGGGAGGCACACGGGGCTGGGTGAACATTCCTGGCGGAGGCACACGGGGCTGAGTGAACTTCCTGATGGAGGCACAAGGGGGGCTGGGTGAACTTCTTGAGGGAGGCACACGGGGCTGGGTGAACTTCCTCAGGGAGGCACACGGGGCTGGGTGAACGTTCATGCAGGAGGCACACGGGGCTAGGTGAACATTACTGTAGGAGGCACACATGGTTGGGTGAACACTTCTGTAGGAGGCATCCTACAGGAAGGAGGCAGACAGGGCAAGGTGAATGTTCCGGAGGGAACATTTCTCAAATACCATGCAATGTCTGAGTTAACCCACTGAAGAATATAAGATTTTGTGGTAGAGATGTAGGCCCCTGGGCCTTCACTTTGGCAGAGTATGTTGTAGGGATTTGAACTGCAACTCCCAGACACCTGCTGTTCCCATAAAGTCCTTTAATATTTGGTCAAAGCCCAGTGGAGTTGTAGACAGAGTCACTTCCGGGTCTGGGCTGAACCCACTGCATAAAATGAAAAGCCTTTTGATTTGAAGCAAACTCAGGAACAAAAGCCACAAAAAAATATATTTTTAATTGTTTTCAGTTATTTGCGTAAATTTTAATTGTATTAGCAACATAAAGTATTACTAAATAATGGGTCATCTCTAGGCTAGAGTATCCTTTTAAACACATTGTGATTTCACCAAAGATCATCTATCAGTTAAATAATTTTGCCAATGGCAAATTGCTACACAAGTCCACCGAGGTTACAAAACAATCAAATACGACATTGTTGTTCAACAAGGGCCAGAGGCCTAATGGTCCCCTTGAGGGTTTGTGATCAGCCACATTCTGTCTCAAAAACCCATACGTTCTATTGTATCGTGTGAGTATCTTGCTAGCTGAACCAAGATTTAAGTTCAATTAATGAGAAGGAACACAAACGTGTTTAGCAATGTGTTTAAACCTATCTTTGGCAGACCATGCAGCTCAGAATCTGTCAAATGTGCACCTGTTTTCATTGTGCAGCTGCTATAATGAACACAATCCTTACAGCCTAATTCAGAAATCACAACTAACATGTAATAGGAAAATGATGCACAGTAGGCTATGAACGCATTGCACTTTATGCACATTTTATCGTATACGCAGACACAACCACGCTATGATAAAACCTGGAAACCAAGGATTAGATGCAGCCAACATGCAATTAGCAAAAAGACAACAAGAAAACAAAGTCTTAATGAAGTAGTGTACAGGTACTTAACTAACAACTCAATGGAAAACATGCTTTCTCCAATGTGCCAAACAAAAATGTAAATAAAAACAAGTACATAAAGGTTGTTTTCTTTAAAAAAAATAAATTAAAAAAAACATAACCAATAGCGACTTTTTAGTTAGGTATTTGCTTGTCTTAAAATGTCTAAAGTGAAAGTTCCTCTTTAGGAATTCTGGTAAAAAAGAAGGTGTTTCAGGACCACTTTTACTTAACCTTTAACCAGTCTTTTACATTACTTTGGTGAAATGAGATTTCTACGACGACTACGTCCTAAAAACCTTATAATAAATTAACCTTTAATTGTTTTACAGCCATTCCACAATATTTATGCAGGCACTACAGGTGATATTCTAAGACAAAATTCTTTATTTTATTTTGCCCTAATCGGCACCTGGTGATTGGCACCTGAGCAAAATGCTCTCCTTGGCTGTTCCCACCTCCTATAACCTCCGACGATCCAGTACCAGCATTTTATTTAGTCTACCGCAATACAAAAAGAAAGCAGCCCGATCCTCCTCCTGATACAGAGCGCCACAATTATGGAACGACCTCCCGCACACTTTAAAATTTCCTACCTGTTCTATGTTACATTTTGTATATATTGTGTATTAATAATGTTTTTGTATTTTATTGTACCATAATGTATCAATGCAATGTTTTCTAGACCCAGGACATACTTGAAAACGAGAGACATCTCAATGTATCTTTCCTGGTAAAATATTTTATAAATAAATAATTTACTTGATAAATAAGGCAATATGCGCAATGGTAGACTGTTATTCTATGTAACATTGTATTAAAGCAAAAAAAAAACAAAAAAAAAAAAACAGTCCCAGTTTCACCAGTACACAAATTTGTTCCAGAGTCAGAAGTTGCATGCTTTAGAAAATAAAACACTTAACTGCCATAGCTAGGCAGGTTAGCGTGTAGTTCATAGACACACAGAGAATCGAGCTCAGCTTCAACATACAATTTTATATTTTACATGTGGTGCATTCTTCAATTCCATCTTAAGGACTTATAAATCTCAGTTTAGTACAAAAGCTTCTGTAGTTAAACATGTTATTTTGAAAACTGGAAATCTTTAAAAAGAAATACTCCAAGAACCATAACCACTACAGATTATTGGAGCTAGCTTATTGCTAGTAAATGGTCACTAATAACTTATCTTGTAAAAAAAACCGCATGATTTTAAGATTTTGTGCTTCTTCTTCAGCACCCAGATTTCACCCACAGATATCAGAGTGAAACCAATGTAAATAATATGGAGTGAGTGAGCACTACCAGAACATGCCATTTAAATCAGTCTCCTTCACTTACAGGAGTTGACGAAGAGTGTTCAAGCTCAAAACAGAGTTTCGTGCCCGACTAAAAGTACAGTTACAAGAAAAAGTATGTGAACCCTTTGGAATGATATGGATTTCTGCACAAATTGGTCATAAAATGTGATCTGATCATCATCTAAGTCACAACAATAGACAATCAAAGTCTGCTTAAACTAATACACTAACACACAAAGAATGAAATGTTGCCATGTTTTTATTGAACACACCATGTAAACATTCACAGTGCAGATGGAAAAAGTATGTGAACCCCTAGACTAATGACATCTCCAAGAGCTAATTGGAGTGAGATGTCAGCCAACTGGAGTCCAATCAATGAGATGAGATTGGAGGTGTTGGTTACAGCTGCCCTGCCCTATAAAAGACACACACCAGTTCTGGGTTTGCTTTTCACAAGAAGCATTGCCTGATATGAATGATGCCTCGCACAAAAGAGCTCTCAGAAGACCTACGATTAAGAATTATTGACTTGCATAAAGCTAGAAAGGGTTATAAAAGTATCTCCAAAAGCCTTGCTGTTCATCAGTCCATGGTAAGACAAATTGTCTATAAATGGAGAAAGTTCAGCACTGCTGCTACTCTCCCTAGGAGTGGCCGTCCTGTAAAGATGACTGCAGGAGCACAGCAGAGACTGCTCAATGAGGTGAAGAAGAATCCTAAAGTGTCAGCTAAAGACTTACAAAAGTCACTGGCAAATGCTAACATCCCTGTTAGCAAATCTACAATACGAAAAACACTAAACAAGAATGGATTTCATGGGAGGATACCACAGAGGAAGCCACTGCTGTCCAAACAAAACATTGCTGCACGTTTACAGTTTGCACAAGAGCACCTGGATGTTCCACAGCAGTACTGGCAACATATTCTGTGGACAGATGAAACCAAAGTTGAGTTGTTTGGAAGAAACACACAACACTATGTGTGGCGAAAAAAAGGCACAGCACACCAACATCAAAACCTCATCCCAACTGTGAAGTATGGTGGTGGGGGCATCATGGTTTGGGGCTGCTTTGCTGCGTCAGGGCCTGGACGGATTGCTATCATCGAAGGAAAAATTAATTCCCAAGTTTATCAAGACATTTTGCAGGAGAACTTAATGCCATCTGTCTACCAGCTAAAGCTCAACAGAAGATGGGTGTTGCAACAGGACAATGACCCAAAGCATAGAAGTAAATCAACAACAGAATGGCTTAAACAGAAGAAAATACGCCTTCTGAAGTGGCCCAGTCAGAGTCCTGACCTCAACCCGATTGAGATGCTGTGGCATGACCTCAAGAAAGCGATTCACACCTGACACCCGAACAATATTTCTGAACTGAAACAGTTCTGTAAAGAGTAATGGTCAAGAATTACTCCTGACCGTTGTGCACATCTGATCTGCAACTACAGGAAACGTTTGGTTGAAGTTACTGCTGCCAAAGGAGGTTCAACCAGTTATTAAATCCAAGGGTTCACATACTTTTTCCACCTGCACTGTGAATGTTTACATGGCGTGTTCAATAAAAACATGGCAATATTTAATTCTTTGTGTTTTATTTTATGACCAATTTATGCAGAAATCGATATCATTCCAAAGGGTTCACATACTTTTTCTTGCAACTGTATCCTATATTCAGGACAGCTTTGTAGCAAGATAATAAAGATGGTAAGCTGTAGTAGTTATAGTGCCTTAAAAGTCCCCTTTACTTTACTGACACTCTTTAATATTAAATCTCAGGTCAAAAAAGTCTTTTTTTTAACAATAAGCAATGAGAGGGTTTGTTGTTCTCTTACCTGTGTCCAGCATGGTAAACCACAGACGAAATGCCATGAGAATAATGGTTTCCAAAGTTAAAACTGTGATTCTCTTGATAACTTTGGTTGGATCCAACACTACTAAAATAAGAAAAAAAAAAAAAGAAAAAAAAAAGAATTTGGCATTTCTCACTAAAATATGAGGAAACAGTATTTGCTTTATACTACAATTAAGGGAAGCCCAGGGAAAACAGAAGAGGTGTTAAGAGATAGCTATAATTTGAAATTGGGGGCATGATCAGTTCAATAAAGGTTCAATGTCCAGGGCTGATGCTGTCTGTCAATTGCCTAATGACAAAAAACAAAATCCGTCTACATTACAAATTACAATAATGTTATCTTATTATGATCAAAACAAGCCAAGGAGAACCATCAGAATGAGTATGTGTTCTCCTACATGTTCAGCTTATTTACTTGTAATAATATTTTGCTGGTAATATACAGGACAAAATTGTAACCTTTGAAAAGACTGAAACATATTCCATTTTGTTTACAGACTTACATGTGCTTCAACTCCTAAAGGAACGTCATTTTATATTGTTATTTAAAATAAAAGAGTACATGTAATATAACCTCTTTGTGTGTGTGTGTGTGTGTGTGTGTGTGTGTATGTATATATATACACACACACACACACACACACCTAATTTCAGTGTATGTCCTGGTTTAATTCTCCTCCACGGGGATGCCATCTTTAAAAGAACACTATAGTCACTAGAACAACTAAAGCCTAATGTAATTGTTCTGGTGAGTATAGTCAGTCCCTGCAGGGATTTTCATGTAAAAACTGCCTTTTCAGAAAAGGGTGGTGTTTACATTGCTCCCTAGGAACACCTCCAGTGGCAGTGACTCAGACAGGCAATGGGAAAGCAGGTGGGTCGGGGGCAGAGCCAGTCCCACCAGACCCATGCAGTGCTGGAATAAAGGTGAATAGGGGGATAAAAGGGGCCAGCCATCTAAATACTGTTTCTAATACTATAGTGTCAGGAATACACATTTGTTCACATTCATGTTTGTGTTCCTTTAAGTCCTTTTTATTCAGTAGCACAACCTGTTCAACCACAGATCATGCAGATAATCAGCGCTTATGTGCATTCTGGAATTCTGGCATCACATGAAAGAGTCGGGAAACTCAACTCTGATGGAAGAAGAATGAAATATGTCTACACAAAACAAGGCTATAGCAGGAGATAAACTAATTTACATGTATTCACTGAAAAATATACCAAGGAAACTGTGCTACATGCACTATGTTATTTTCAATATTTGCACAAAATGATGAAATGTTTCCTTTAACTGGTGTTTCAGCATTTTAAAGAAAAAAATTAATCTTCGATCATTTTAAGCAAGACATATTTGTCTTGCTGCTGCTAGAACAATGGCCAAGACCACTTCCTTGTCATTGTGTCACAAGACTTTATATTATAAATAATGCAGCTTCCCAAAAATATTAATGAGGCAAAATGTAACATAATAAAACCACTATTTAAGTGTGGTATTTGGACAATTAAAACTAATAAGGATAATACTGTACTGCTAAAAGCTTTCTATTCTGCCGAGATGGTAAAACAGCAACTTTAAAGGGACACTCCAGGCACCCAGACCACTTCTGCCCATTTTAGTGGTCTGGGTGCCAACTCCCACCACCCTTAACCCTGCAAGTGTAAATATTGCAGTTTTTATAAACTGCAATAATTACCTTGCAGGGTTAAGTCCTCCTCTACTGGCTGTTCTTAAAACACGAAAAGTATACAGCATCGCCGGAATCCCCATAGGAAAGCTTTCCTATGGGGAGGTCCAATGTGCGTGCACAGCCATTGCGAGGGAGCCTGACCCAGTGTCGAGGGACATTGGCGCTGGATTCACCCATTCAGCAACATAGGAGGGAGAGGCGCACTGCAGGGTCCTGCAGTGCCAGGAAAACGGATATGTTTTCCTGGCACTGGAGAGTCCCTTTAATAAAAAAAAAAAAGACAAAGTAGAAGTTGTAACAATAATTGAGTAGTGAAGGTGCACAAACAAAAAATTCCAGAATGCATTACTGACATGCCAAATATCTTAAATCTAATGTTACCAAATAGCACATACCATAGAAAATCCCAAAAAATAAACTAACCTCACTAGGTAACTTTTTAGCTGTCCTCGATAATTGATTACCAAAAGTTCTGCGGACCACTGAGTGCTTGCTTTGTACTCTAAAAAGATCAATCCAGCGACAGCAGAACTCAGGTCTCCATGGAAGCTTGTTTGCTGTAGGAGTAAAAAATAAAGTCAGGCTTTACAATTCAAATTTATTTCGAACATTAGAACATTCACTAGAATTTATTTAAGCCTGTACTTTTTATTTTCTTAGCAAACTCACAGCACACATTTAGTGTCCGCGCACTCTCTATCTCTCTCTCTCTCAAAGCCATTTTCCAAAAAACAAATCTAAATTTAACAATACAGATACAATCCCTCATACACACCACGGAGAGACAAATACATTTTAAAAGAACTGACGTATTGCTTTGACTCTCCAGGCTTGCAATGGCAAATAACGTTAAGGTCTGACTATATCATAACGGTTTTTATTGGTTGTGCTCTACACTTATTTATTATTTGGTACATTTTGGTTACCATGGCTATGCAGTGGGAAGTGGTGAGCCAACAACAAGTTGCACTGGTCAAGCCATATTACCTACAAGGCGTTTTTTATAAGTAGACTAAAATTTCAAATTCACTAAAAATTCTTGACAATTTTAACTTAAGTGAATAACCATGCAGGTTTTCAGTCATATTAGAGGTACACTTTCATTACTGACTTAACTTGGTAAATCAAATATCCCACGATGCTATGCTATCACCAAGAGAAACGAATTTCAGATACATCATTGTGGTCAAGGTTAGCCATCTATACTCCACACTGGGGGAAATCAACCTTCGATGCTCCAAATGTTTTGGACTACATTTTCCCGATGCTTTGCCCGCATTATGACTGCAAAAGCATTATGGGATATGTAGTCCACAACATCTGGAGTGCCGATGGTTGCCTCCCCCTGCCGCAGAATATGGGAGGGAAGATCGTTGATGTTTTCACTTCCTGATACGTATCAATTTATTTCCCTCAAAGAAAGTTTTAAAAAAGGCTTTGGAAAGTGATTTAAACACAAAAATATTTAAGTAAATGACATACCGGAGGAATGACAAAAAGTTCACTCCCCATTAGATCAAACAGTCTGACAGTCCCAGTACTTTCTGCATAAGCCAACAACGTGCAGTCATGGCTCCATGCCACACGCCGCCACTGGGGGTTGGGGTCTTTGGGAACTAAAAAGAGAAAAGAAAAAAGTTTGCATTAAACGGATCTCATACGATAAACATTTGAAACTGCAAGGACGTTCAGTCATTTTCTTGGGGGGAAAAATGCAGCCACTAAATGCAAACAGGACCAAGTATGCCATTTTTCATCTTTTTCACAAAATAACTAAATTGATTCCACTTTGAAAAGGCTTTAGCTTTTTAGTGCTGCAGCAACATATTTTTACATTTCAATTAGCCCTGTTCTCAGCAGCAGTTCTTGTTGACCTAGTTGAATCCTATTAAATTGGATGAGTTTAGTAGAATGCTAAAAAAGGATTGAGGACAGTATGTACTTATAATCACTCACCTTGACATTTTCCTATCACAGAACCAAAGTCATCTTTTGCAGACCTGAAAGTACAGGAAATGGAATACAAAAGGGAAATTAAATCTTGATAAGTAGGAAGGAGTGATGGATTTCTTACACACATACTGTAAACAGCAGATTTAAACCAATGAATTGTGCAAGGAAAGGTCTTCTTGTCAATAGCTAAATTCAGCCATAAAATATAATACCTCATTTTGAACATAGCCTCTTATTAGACATTAGAACAAGCCGTTATTTGCAGATATAATGACAGATACATTTATTTTAACATATATTTGTTAAACATTTAGTTTTTTTATGTTACACTGGCAAGACCATGATTTGCTACACGGATGGATGGATCTTCTGATGTACAGATCAGAGAGTCCTGTATATATTCTAATTTTGACAAATGCATACATGGTGATTTGTAACTTAATATAGAACAATATTTACATAGGAGAAAATAATCTGTGAAAATATATACCAAAAAAAGCTAAGTGGATACTCCCCTGAGTATCAAACTCAAATGTCTAATTACAAACAAGGATGAAAACCAAAATTGTAATGTAACTTTACTTACAAAACAGTACAACATCAAACATATAACGGGCAAACAAGAAGCGATAAGGCTAGAATCTAAACATACAATATCCACATTTACCTCAATAGTCTACCAGAGCAGGAAACAAGTAACAAAAAACCCCAATGTATCGGCACGCAAAAATTGCCTACCTCAAGGCAAACGTTACTTAATTTAAACATGACATACAGATGGAAGATGCAAAAAAAATGTAACAACGTAACCTCATCAGCTCATTGCATGTATGGCAGTTTGACCTATAATGTTCAATAAATTGCAAAGCACATGCTTTTTGGGGAATTAACATCCAGTGGTCTCCATCAGTTTAAAGGAGCACTATAGGGTCTGGAACACAAACATGTATTCCTGACCCTATAGTGTTAAAACCACCATCTAGGCCCCCTGGTCCCCTCATGCCTCCCTAAATATTTCAAAAATCTTACTTGTAATCAAGTTTGCTGCTGCTGGCTTTGTCACTGTTTCCTTTAGACCTGCCCACTGACATCAGCAGAAGTGGTAGCTTGACCCAATCACAATGCTACCCCATAGGATTGGCTGAGACTGACAAAGACGCAGATCAGGGGCAGAGCCAGCACAATTCAAACACAGCCCTGGCCAATCATCTCTATGAGGAAAGTTTAGTGTCTGCATGCAGATGGAGGAGACACTGAATGTTTGGATGCATTTTAGGCAGCCATGACCCAGGAAGGATCTCTAACAGCTATCTGAGGAGTGGCCAATGAAGTTATCACTAGGCTGTAATGTAAACACTGCATTTTCTCTGAAAAGACAGTGTTTACAGAAAAAAGCCTGAAGGTAATGATTCTACTCACCAGAACAAATACAATAATCTGTATTGGTTCTGGTGATTATAGTGTCCCTTTAATAGAATGCAAACATTTAAAAGAGCTCCTTATGTATAAAAGTAGCAAACGTAGGGCCGAAACACACATGTGTATACTCAACCTGCTGGATTGTATCATGTATATTTTAGAAGACATATTGCCAAGTTATTTCTTCTCTCTAGGCACGGGAGTGTCAAAAATCATGATATACATGCCAAAGGGTAAAAATACTTTGCAGATATTTTTGATAAAACGAGCAAGCCTATGAATCCGACAGTTTAAAGTGTTTAACAGCAAAGAAATATTTAATTTTTTTAATTTTTTTTTTTTTTTTTTTTAAACGTCTATTCCAAAATCTCAGTACCAGGTAACAGTGTTGGTGTATTTTCCAAATTCATGATCGGCAAATTAAACAATTTCATATTACATCATAAGATATGACAATGTGACAGTCTTAGGATTCTGAGCAGGACAGAGGCCTAGAGTATACAATAGAAAGAATACAATAAAAAGAAGTATTATGGTTCCTCAAAGTCCCCCCAACACTAGCCAAAGAGTCTAATGAGCTTGCCATTTACAGTGAA